TCAATGTTTTCAACACCGCTTGGCAATACCTTCAAAAAGAAACCTTGTGTTAACGAAGGATACCATTAAAAATCACTACCAACCTTAAAGCTTTGTTTATCTTTCCAGCTTCAGCAAGCATCAACGCATAAATAAGCTTGTATGGCTGAAAAGGAAGTAAAATAAACTGGGAATTGCCGATCACTCTTGCAAATTTGTACACTTCCATTCGCTGATGAAGAAAAGGTTGGATCAACTCAAGATTCCAACCTTTTCTGGTGATGGTGGTGTGGATGAGTGTCTAACTTGGCTAGTTAATGTAAAGAAATTTTTGGCTACTAAAGGAATTCCAGATGTAGAGGCTTTAGTGGCTATTTCAATGGTTTTGTGTGATATAGGTCTTCGGTGGTGGAATTAGCTTGAGGAGTCTTGTGCTGTGGATAAAAAACCATTAGTATTTACAATGGATGAATTTGAGGTTGCTTTCCATTTACGTTTTGCTCCTCACTATGACGTGGAGAATGCTCACATTGAACTTTGACATTTTCAACAAGGGAAAATGAAGCTTGGGGACTATATTGAGAAGTTGACTTGCTTAATTAGCCGTGTTCCAATGAAAGACCCAGATCAGAACAAGTCCTATTTTATTAATAGCCTTCATAGTGAGAGCATGCGACAACACTTGCATCATTTTTAACATATAAAGAGTTTGGAGGAGCTCTTTGATGCTACTCGTCGACTTGACAATGATAAGTATAAGTTTCACAAGCGTCCGATGAGTCTTTCTATTGAGAATCGACGTGATGATTATTGTGGACACTAAGATGGGAATAAACATCACAAGTTGAAGTCTATGGTGGCTCTTTCGGGTACACAAGGATCAAAGAAGTAGAAATTCTTTATGAAGAATTATAGACAAAGTTGTCATCATTGCCGCGAGCTAGGACACTATAAAGTTGATTGTCCACTGTGAAGAACAAATAATATAGCAACAAGAATGGCCAATCTTCTACTAATGGTAAGTTAGATATTAAGAAGTTGCAAACTTTGCAGTGCAAGGATGACGAGGACGACCATTCCGGTTGGAGGAGGAGGCTTTCTATTGTTGCTTGTCAACTTAACTATGTGTGGAACAAGATGAAGGTCAAGGACACTCGTGCATCAACTTATTAGAGGGCATGTTCCATAGCAGTCCAGTGGGGAGTGATGACAACTTTGTTTCCACAAAATTTGTTGAGGAGCATGGCCTAGTGACATGAGAAGTTCTTCCATATATGGTAGAAGGTGCAGCTACCTTTATTTGGCATTTCGATATTTGTGTAGAAGGGCTGGAAGTGTTGGTTGGCAAAACCACATTTGTGGAGACTTTTTATCTCATGGATCTTCATTATGTGGATCTCATTCTTGGGATGTCATAGTTGGTGAAGGTGGATCCAAAGATAAAATGGAGTATTAAACGTGTCTCGTTGGAGTACGGTGGCATTAAAGATGTGTGGTTTAAAGAGGGAGTTCAACCTCCAATTGTTATGCTCTCTACTACATCTTTGAAGCAAGCTTGTCGTAATGGAAAAGTACTTTTGAGTTACTTACTATTTGTTCATGACTTGGGGGACCAAGCCATGTGTGGAGGAGAGGCAGTAGTGCAGATTATACTCGAAGAGTTCTCTGATGTTTTTCCCTCTAAACTTCCTTATGAATTGCCTCCATTACGAGGTGTGGAGCATGGGATTACGTTGGAGCCAAGGACGTAGCCAATTTACTAACGTCCATTTTAGCAAAAATATGGAAGAGCATAAGGTGCATTTGCGCAAGGTTCTTTTATTACTCTATAACAACAAACTTTATGTGAAAAAAAGCAAATATAAGTTTGCAAAGTCGGAGGTGGAATATTTAGGCCATATTATGACATCCAAGGGTGTCAAGACGGGTCCAAGGAAGGTGGCTGTGGTGGAGAACTAACTTACACCAACTTCAGTGGCTAAGTTATGCAGTTTCCTTGGTATGGCTAATTACTACTAACATTTTTAGCATAAGTTTGCAGAGGTGGCTATTCTTTTGACATTATTGTTGCATAAGAACGTGCCATTCGAGTGGAAGAAACCACATGAGGATAATTTTGTGGCATTGAAACGTTTGTTGAGTGAGGCTTCAGTGCTTCACATTGTTGATCCATCAAAACCTTATAAGGTGATATATGATGTGAGTGGTTATACACTGGGAGGAGTTCTCATGCAAGAGGGACAGCTTATTGCATATGAGAGTCGAACTTTGAATCCTGCAGAGCAATGCTATTCCATATATGAACAAGAGTTACTCTCCATTGTTCATGCTTTATGGACATGGTAACATTATCTTGATGATGCAGTCAAATTCCATAAGTTTGACCATCCAATGAGCTTGTTTAGTGTTCAACTCCTTCTATATGCAAAGATATACAAAGAGTTTGTGATCCATCAACACTGTGAACGAGAGTTTCTTATTAAGCATCGTTCAAGAAAATTGAATGTGGTGGCAGATGCTTTATCTCGTGTTTGGCATATGACGATGTTACAAACATAGTTTTATCATCATTTGGGTAAGGTGGTTAATGAGTTTGAGCAGTTAGTTGAATGTGCTCAAGCTCAAGATGTTGAGGTGGTCTCGTTGTAAGCCTAAATGGAAGCACCTTTCTCATTGGTGGATGGGATTCTTTACTACAATGGCCATGTGTATTTGCCATGGGTGGATGTGTTAATTATTCAAGTGTTATTCCACTATCATGATCGTCCAGAGGTTAGTCATTTTGGGGGAAAAAGACATATGAGTTGATTAAGCACAATTTCTATTGGAAGAATATGAAGGTTGATATCCTTGAGTACTGTAAGTCATGTGAGCTCTATCAACGAGTAAAGGTGATATGGGAGAATTCGAAGGGACTTTTGCAACCTTTACCTATTCCTCAGAGCTGTTAGTGTAGTATCTCTATGGACTTCATCACTTGAACACAGAGGCACAAAAAGCAAGTGTGGGTCATAGTGGATCGTTTGACGTAATATGTGTGGTTGTTGGCTTTTCGGAAGAGTGTCATTGCCTTAGACTTGGTTGCGGTCTACTTGGAGAAGGCTTTTTCTGATTTTGGTTTGCTAGAGGACATCGTTAACAATCGAGATTCAAAGTTCACTAGTGGATTTTGAAACAACTTTGCAAAAGCTATGCAAATGACTTTGAAACTCTTGAGTGGAGATTATCCTCAAACAGATGGGCAAACTAAGCGTGTGAATTAGGTGGTGGAGGATATGCTATGCTATAGTATTAGTCAAAGGCAAGGACAGTGGGATCTATATTTTTCATTGGTGCAATTTGCTTACAACAATAGTCAACACAGTGGAACCAAGCTAAGTTTTTGCTTTGCCATGTTTGAAAAGCATCCTCAAAGAGCCGTGGAATTGGAATTGCATTTGAGTAAGGATATTCAAGAAAAACTTGATTCAAAGGCAACTGATTTGGCCATGGAACTTGATGAAATTCTGGTAGTGTGCAAATAGAATTTGCAAGCAACTTAGGATAAAGCGGAGAAATTTGCTAATAAGTATCGCCAATTCCAGGAATATAAAGTGGGTATCTCATCTTTATATGAGTGATTTTTCCGTCAAGTGAACAGTGGAACACTTTAGTGCCTTTGCAAAATGGGAAGAGTGATAAAATTTCTCATCAGTATGTTTGCCCATATGAAGTGCTGGAGCACATCAGTAAGGCGGCTTATCAAGTGTGGCTGCTAGTTGGGGTGAAAATTCATCCAGTATTTTATGTTAGCCAGTTGAAATGTATACTATCTCGAAGTGTCAGGCCCAATGCCTCCTTAATGTATACAGCTATGGAAGATGAATCAAGAGCTTGAGCAGGGTTCCCCAGAAAGGGTGAAAACTGGTACAACTCATCCTTGGGACAAGGACTTTATTGGGGGGAAAAATTGTTAGGTGCCAGCTTTGACCATGTGGTTAACGTCAGTCAAAGGGAGGCTTAAGGGTTTATGAAGGCATGTTAGGGTAAAGAACTTAACATACCCTAGGGCTCATTGTGGAGCGGCAGTGCAAAGGACCTTTTGAGGTAGCTCAGGGGTGGTTGGGCGGTGAGGAACTTCAAAAGGAGGTGTAATCTAGTTCAGGAAGACTAGATTGTTGACTTTTCATGCCATGTCATAACACAATTGTTGTTCATGATGTGAGGAATATCATGGATGGGGACATAACATTGGAACTTGTGCCAAATGTCAATAATATGCTAAAAACATTCTTATTCTCTTTTGACATTTATGGATAATAGGAGTTCTATTTCTTGTGCTTCTTCTCTATCACCAACAAATAACAAAAGTCCTCCTATTCTCTCTCCTCCACTCTCTTTCATAACATGCAATATAGAATTAATGGAGGATAAGTAGTTTATGTTTGTTTTTGCTAGCGTCATAAATAGTATAAATGTGATGATCTTGGTGGACTTTGGCTTAGCAATTTCCTCTATTCAGTGTTTAATTGTTTGAAGTTTCATTATAGCAAGTCTCTTGTACTTCTGTTTACTAATCATAAGTCATCAGCATAGATATTATGTATGGAAACACTGGTTGTCTACGTGCGGTGTGGGCATTTGGAGGAATCGAGAAGGATCTTTGATGCATTGCCAGCCAAGAACATCACGTCGTGGACAGCGCTCGCGACCGCGTATGCCGAGAGTGGGCATCCGGGCGAGGCCAAGGCAGCGTTCGATCTAATGGCAGTGTGGGACGTAGTTTCCTCCACTGTGATGGTCAAGGCGCTGAGTGATTGCGGGCAGATTGGATCAAGCAAGGCGGTGTTTGATGCGATGCCCGAGAGGAACTGCAAGACGTGGGCGACACTGCTGCAGGGATTTGCTCATGGCGGAGAGATTGGGCAAGCGAGAGAGGTGCTGGATCAGATGCCCGAGACGAATGTGGTAGCGTGGACGACCCTCGTGCAGGGTTTCGCGCAGCACGGGTGAGTGGCGATGCGAAGGCCGCATTTGATTCCATGCCCGAGAAGAACACCATCACTCACGCGGTGATGCTCGTCATGTTTGCGGAGAATGGATTCGTGGAGGAGGCGGAGGATGTCTTCCAGGAGATTGTACACCGAAACACAATCCTCTGGGGGGCGATGCACTGCTGCTATGCCCAAAATGGGGATTTGATTCAAGCCAAGAGTTTGTTTGATAGGATGCCTCTGCACAGCATACGATTATGATCAAGTCATATGTGCAAAAAGGTGACGCTGATCAAGGAAAAAAATTGTTTGAAGCAATGCCACACAGAGATCTTGTTTCATGGAACTCAATAATCACTGTTTATGCCCAGAGAGGTTGTTTCAAAGACTCTATACGAGTGTTTTCTTTGTGTTGCTGCTGGGATTCCTATTCATGGAACACAATTCTCGTGGTATATGCTTTAGATGCAAATATTTGTGAGGCGAAGAAGACGTTTGATAGAATACCAACTTGGAATTTGGTCTCCTGGAACACGATGCTAGCAGCATATGCCATGACCGGCCATGCGTATTCTGCGATCCAGCTCTTTTGGGTGATGTTTCTTCACGGCTTTGATCCCGACAAGGCAGCGTTTCCCTCGTTTTGATGGCGTGTAGCCATCTGGGGCTCGTCAAGGAAGCAAGCTACTTCACGGCAATGAGCTTTGACAAGGGATTGGACCCTTCGCAATACCACTACACCTGCATTGTTGATGCTCTAGGACGGCTAGGGCGAGGATGTCCTGGAGAATATGCCTTTGCCAGCTGATGGAGTTGCATGGGCAACGTTTGTTGTAAAAACCACGGGGAGATGAATTGAGGGATGCATGCTGCGGAATTTACGTGCCAGTCCAGCCTTGTGAGTGATGCATTGCCTTATGTGATGCTGGAGAACATCTTCAGAGCAGTTCAGACTTGATTCTTCTCTGTTTTGATGTGTTGACCCAAAGATCAATCGTTGATATCCAGCCATTCCGTGAGCCGCCCCATCCCCCATGGATGGAGAGCGGGACGCACAGAGGATTGAGCATAGGAGAGTCTTCATGAGGAGCATAGTCCTCTGCCTCTCGCGTATGAGTCCGTGGTGTCCCATGCATCTGGAATGTTAAGTGCAGTGGGTTTGCTATAGTCAGCAATGCAAGATCCAATGCTGCTGTTGTGAATTTCAGCAGCAGCACTGCACTGCTCCTGCTCCACATCAGTGCCATGCTAGGCGTGGCAATCCAGATTCTCAAGACCATGCCGGTGAGAGTGAGCCGTGGAAGTCTCTCATGAGCTCTTGTTTAAAGTGGGAAGTAGTGGTGTGGAAAGCTTGCGTTTGAGGCGCGGGTGGAGACGGGCTGATTGCAGTAAGGTGATAGCTCGTTCCCATTGCCTTCCTTTTGAATCCTATCTCCCTGGTTGCCTCCCGACATGCTTCATATGTTCTCCTCTCTGTGTTCCATATGGTATCCTCTCTGCTTGCGAAGCATTGCACAGCATGTTGCTGGAGCTGGGCCTCAGCCCATTCGTTGATGGCTAGCATTTACGAAGGCTTCACTGGATGTTGATACAGAGAATTAAGTTTAAAGACAATTGGCCCACTTTTATGATGGGGTTAATCTATGTTGACTGGATTGTTCTTTGCAAAGCATGTATGCAAGGCGATTTTACAAGGAAATTTATCAAATCTTCCGCAAAGTCAATGCCATAATCTGTCAAGAACCAAATCCTTGGAGAGCTTTAGGAATTAATATATGCATAATGAAGGATAGTTAACTAATTTGATGATGAGAAGTTTGACATATGTTATCAAACATATTATCTAGCATAGCAATCAGGGATGCTCAACATCCCAAACAATTCTCCCCATTGGAAATAAGAAATATCACAAGTGCCATTTCCTACTCATCCATTCCTTTCGAAAACTTTCTTTCTATTCTGCAGGGTGGAGTTTTATATATAATGTTGTTGTATAGGCAATATTGCTTCTTCAATGGCAACTAGCACTTGTTCAATGTTTCATGACCAATATATTCCCTTCTCTTCCAATACCATGGAATATAAGTATATGAAAATTTCAAAACTAACATATTGGAGTACAATCTTAATCATTCTTAAACTCTCAGGAATACTAGACTCAACTAGAGATATACTTCAGTTCCCTTTAACCTTCCAGTCTAGCATCATTCCAAATCCAGGATTGGTATTCAGATTAGAATATTGCTAGCTTTTTGAGACAAGTATAATAGTTGTTTTGACTCGTTAGGATCATCCTTTAGTGATTTTAATCTACATTGAGTTATAATTTAAATAGATTGCTACTTTGTCCTCTATGACATGCTAGATGGAGAAAAAGTGTTATATAATCTCATATTTTTAATGCATCAAGTATTCTTTACAAATCAAATATTTATTTTAATAGCTTTTTTTCTGCAGGCTATTTGCAAAAGAACACCCACAAAGTGTATGACCTGTTTAGTATTTGCACACATATATTCTTTATTTTTCCACAATACCTATCTTTTATGCTTCAGTTAAGTTATAGTCATTTACACCTTTGAGTATTTCTTCAATTTAGGCACTATATTTTTGGTTTGCTTAAACAAACCAACATAGGATATACCTGGGTATTCTTGAATATTCTATAATTTAATTGTTGATATTTATTTAGAATATTTTTGTGTTTATAAATTAAAAACATTTCATCACGTTGACAAATGTATTTTCAAAGCTTTTAAATCTGAGAAGTACTAGTTCAATGTATGAACATGTGTTTGCAGGTGTGATTTTGTGGTGAGGAAGCAGGAGCAACAGGAGGTCCTCCAGACAAGCTAACTTCTCAAGTTTAACCAGCCACCTCCATGCAAGGGTACTTTCCACGAGCTCAAAGGGTAGAGGGCTAGCTCTTGATTTTTTTTGGTTGTTCTCTAGGCTCCAATCTGTTAGGAGTGATGCAAAGAGACTGTTATTGATCAGGCCAGGGATTTCCAACCCAAAGCTATGTTTCTCATACCTTATCGATCCAGAAAATATACATATCCTCTTGTAGTTTCTCTTCTAAATAGAAGACAAGTGCCTGAGGTTGTACATATCAAAGTACAAACCAAAGAAGCAGATCAATGGATCTCCCCACAACGCATCAATCAGCAGTCGAACGAGGCAAGCAGCGCATTCTTGATCCTCTTCCAGTCAATCCACTTTCCTGTAACCAATGGTGCTACCGTTGCTCACCAGGTACCAGTCCAGCTCGCTGTCCCATGCCTCGACATGATATTCCATGACCCTTTGTCCCATGTTTACTGGCTCTCGGATCTCCAGTGCATTGAACTTTGAGACCTTGCCAAGATCAAGCTCGATCCAGCCGGTCGACTCCCCTTACATTGGAGCCCAGAAAGTTTCCATACACTTGTCAAGGATTTGCTTCGGCCCAAACAAAGAGCTGCGAACGCTGCTTGCTGTCATGGACAAGGGATTCACTGCTAAGTTGATGCTGAAGATGGAATCTATGGCGGAGCTAAACCACTCCAGCGTCTGGAAGTCGGATTCGTCGATCAGTCCCGACGAGTTTGGAGGGACGTTGAGTAGGAGCAAGCAGTTCCTGGCAGATGATTTGTAGAAAACGTCGAGCAGCTGCTCCAGGGATTTTGGAGCCTCGTTCCTGTGCCAAAACCAACCGGGCCTGATGGAGATATTGCACTCCAGAGGGAACCAGTCAGTTCCAACACTCTCTCCAGACATCAAGTACCTGTTGATGTTGCGAATTGGATCGACTTTGGGTGTTAAGCACCAGTTTTAACTACGTGGTCAACGTCAGTCAAAGGGAGGCTCAAAGGTATATTAAAGCATGTTAGGGTAAGGGACTTAACCTACTCTAGGGCTCATAGTGCACAGTAACTTTAAGAGGTGATGTAACATAGTTTAGGGCAACTAGATCTCCGTCTTTTTTGCGCTGGATTATAACATTGGGCTCCTCTGGACGTGGCTTGGGCTCCTCCGGGCACAGCTTGGACTCCTCCCGCTGTGGCTTCGGCTCCTCCCACCGAGGCTTGGCCTCCTCCTGGCGATGATCCATGGCCTCCTCCTCCCAGAGAAGAACTGCAGCATCCTCCTCCTAGAGTAGAACCATGGCCTCCTCCTCCCAGGGCACCCCCTCCTCGAGCCGCCTCAGAACCATGGCCTAATCCTCCCGGGGCCAGACTGAGAGATCCGCAGCCAACCCCAGCCACCCCACACCCTCCTCCCACTCCATAACCACCTCTCCCTCCATGGGCACCGCTTCCTCCTCCTGTTGGTGAAGATACAGCACGAGCAGGCCCAGATCCAGCTTGATCGGCCCCATTTCCCAGAGCTCTGTTTCCTCTTCCAACCCTAAAATCGGATTACCTGCTTCTTCCTCTCCTCATAAATCTCCGCGGCTGCTGCCATGTTTTAATTCTCGGGCCGTGCCGCGAGATCAGATCTTCTTCACAGGCACGCCAAACCCTAACCTAAGGATCTTCTCGAATATTTCTGGAATAATTTTTAACAACTTCCCTTAAAATAAAATGATCCCAACACTTTAGATTTGGTCGTGGTTTTTGAAAATTACTTAAGAATCCTCCCTTTTTTTTTTTGTGCAAATCCAAAATACTAATAATTTTCCCATAAAAAATAAGGGTAAGTACATTACTTTAGCTTAAGCTATTGTGCAAATAGGGAAAAAGTAAATTTTGAACTTTAATTTTCGGGTAACTCTTGGTCCAGAGCTAAACTCTTATAAACATCTCTAAACATGCTCATTTAATTAACCACCAATGAACGGCAAAGATATCTTTACCAGCACTCCCCCACTAATTTTCTTTTGAAAATAAAAAACTAAAAGCAAAGAAGATATTATCAAACACTATTTTTTCAATGTTTGTTTTTTTTTTATTTTCTACTATTAATTAACTTACAACTCAATCACACAATATTTGGAGGTGGAAGAATTGAATCCAACTTAATTTCAGCAAACTGATGAGGATGGACAATTTTTATTTTCATTTCTTTTGCACTTCTTAATTTACATTTCTTAATTTGTTTCTACTCTTCTTATACACACTTCTTCGGTGTATTTGTCCCATTATATTTAGCTGAAACACATGTACATGTACACTAGTACACTACGTACTAAGCCTATGATACACACTTGTTGCTAATTCTCAACGATTTGTGCATCTGCTGGTTGGTACACACACACACACTGTGTAGGGCTAGCTCCATCCACAAGAGAGCCTTGAGGTTGGGCACCAGAGGCTGGAAGAAGTCGTCACAGGAGAGAGCAAGCAGGTCACCACTCACGACAAGCTCAAAAAATCTGGAAGGAAGACGTTGCCAAGGAACTGGTGAGTATGTCGCAAGAAACAAATGCCGTCGTCACCAGCTTCCACACGTCTTCAACGTGCTCTAGGAGCACAAACCCAAAGTTGGTCATGCCGCAAGCCGCCATCACCTTGCTCCCGGAACATGAAGCGGTACTTGCTATCAGCAAAGAGTTTGGGTACTGGCAAGTCTTCATACTAAGGCTTATTATCTGAATCTGGGCGCTCCGTTTTGGGGCACCTGTTGCCAGGTTTAGTCAGCATTCCTTACCAAAAAGAAATTTAAA